ATAATGCAGGCAATACTCCCCTGCAGATCGCATCGCTTGCTGGCGAAACTGAAATCGTGAAGTTCCTACTTGACGCTGGCTGTGAAATCAACACCAAGAACATCGACAAAGATACCCCGTTGATTGATGCCGTCGAAAATGGAAACGTGGAAGTGGTCAAACTTCTGCTTGATGCAGGCGCAAACCCCCGAACCGTGAATGCTGAAGGCGATGAGCCCTATGAGTTGGTGCCATCGTTTGTGGACGAAGATGAATACGACGAAATGCGGAAGGCAATCGCTGATGCCAAGGCCAATCTACGGCCTAGTCGACGCTCGGAGGAACACATGCCACCGGAGAACAGGGAGCCCTCTTCACGGCGCACATCGGCAGCCAGGGGATCAGCAGCAAGTCCCCGAGATTCACCCCCGATGCGCAGTCCTCCTCCCGTGGGTGTGGCAGGCCGACGAAAGGGTGGCCGAAGTGAAGCCACACGAAATGATCTTCTCTGGACGAAGCCGACATTTGAGAATCTCCGAGAGTTCGCTGCCAAAGGCGATGAGGCTGGTGTGGTGAGCATTCTGAACATCCTGCAGAAAGCCGACAACGCATCCTTGATTGCTGCGGCAAAGGGTGGTCACCACGATGTTTTGTCTCTTCTTTATGCCATGGGCGAGGCTGATGCCGATCCAAATCCGCTGCGGGGTCAAAAGCCTGGATACAATACTCCATTGCTCGCGGCTATCGGTCGAGGAAAGAGTGCTGTCATCCGACTCATCTTGAGTCAGCCTGGATTTGACCCCACACGTCGACTCTTTGAGGACAAGACATACTTTGAGTTGTCTCGGGATCGACAGGGCGAAGACTGGGAGGATGAGCATAACATTCTGAAGGAAGCGTATGAGAAATACTCAGGCCCACGCAAAGGTCGCAAAGGCGATTCGCCCCGCCGAGCGCGTGGGAAAGAAAAGGACGACAAACGATCCGCGCGCAAATCCTCGTCATCCCCAGTCCCTCGCGTGAGAAAGCACGACACCAGTCCCAATGCCACTAGATATCGCGATCCTTTGAAGGAAATGGATCCCATTAAGGAGAAGAGGCACGAAAAAGAGCACGACTCATCACGGCCTGATTCTTCGACACGGCCCGATTCCGCGAAACCTAAATCGTCACTATCTGCCAGAAGAGATAGCGAGTCAAGTGGGGTTGCACGTACTGATGAAATCAAAAAGCGACGACTCATCGCGGGACGTCGACCTCAGGAGCGCCGCCCCAGTCTCTTTTCATCCGATTCGTTGTCTGGGCGCGAAGAGGCTCCCAGGATGCGCCCTGATAATGCTCCCGATTCATCTCTGTCCTTGAAGCGAATCCGTCCCGACAGATCTCCAGAGCGGTCTCGCTCCCGCGGCACAGACAGACGCTCGCCTTCTCCTGGATCGCGCCCGAAGAAAAGAAGGGTCGTCTCCGAGGATAAGCAGCCGGGTGCTGCAAACGGTTCAAAACACCCCGACGAGCTCAACACATCCCAGCCCCGACGAACCAACGAAGACACTACTCGAGCCATTGATCCCAAACCTCAACACCTCAAACCCTCCGAATCTTCTCAAAACCCTTCAACCCACCAACCTTCACCAGATCATGATCCCGTTAAAAAGAACGGTGACGTGAAAAAGGAACATTCAGAACACAAACCAAACCCCTCAGAAGACATGATGACCGACGAGAAGCGTGCCGAGCTTGAAGCTAAGGAACGTCGCCAGGCTGAGGCCAAAAGGGCCGAACAAGAGCGCGCAGCAAACGAAAAGCGTGCCGCCGCCGAGGCCGAACGCACTCGTCTTGCCAAGGAAGAAGCTGACCGGGCTGCTCAAGCTGCTCAGGCAGCTCGTGACAAGGCCGAAGAGGATGATCGCAAGCGCAAGGAAGCCGAACAACGACGTGCTAAACAAGCCGAGGATGAACGCCAAAAGCGTCTAGAGCAAGAACGTGCTCGTATTGCCAAGATGCGCCGTGACCAGGAAGCACAAGAGCGTCGACGCCGTGAAGCACTTCCCAGTCGCCTTCACCTCGCAGCCGACCTTGTGGGCTCAAACGACTCCCGTGCCAAAAGTCACGCCTGGCTCAAGAACTTCATGCCACTTGTTACCGCACTCACCCGTCAACTCAACCCTCAATGTGATGTGGAAGTGGCCGAGGAGAAATGGATTCCGAACTACTTGGTTGCACCCTTGCTGGCCACCAACGATCTCCAGCTTTCGCAATATGCTAGCTGGGAGAAACGCAAGGCGACCCCCACTCAGCGCATGAATTTGTGGCGAGTTACGCGCCGCATGTTGACTCATGCGGAGGAATATGGAACTCACGGCTCGACCATTGGAAACATCATGCAGAAAGATTGTGACACCCGTCCCAAGTATTTCGAGATGGAGCATGTCTTCTGGATCAGAGTAAGTCATCTATGTTGTGAGATATGAATACCGCTAACATGCGTCTAGCTCGCTGATTTCATGGAACTCATCCCACACGTCCCTCACCTGCAAGGGCTTGAACTCCAATTCCTGAACATGCACATCGATTCTGAGCCATCCTCGGCGAACCCCAGCTTCAGCGCTCCTAAGCTCAACGGTCACGGTATCGATGGTTCTGTTGAAACCAACGGCACCGGCCTTCTCAACGGTTATGGCCATTCTCGGTCTAGTACATACGTCTAGTTTTGTTTTCAGCGTTCTTTCGCTATTCGGGACACGGCGCGATGGCAGCAATCCAGCAGTGGTGTACAGGGCGGATTCTGATTGTACGATTATGATACCTCTTGCGTTCTAGTGACGAATCTACTATTTGTGAGTAGTCAACATGTTTGTTTAGCTGTAAGTTAGCTTAGTGCTACTGAGTATTTGTATTTCAATATCTACAAATAAGTTCAAAACAAACTTCACATTGATACTGTGTAAATACTGTCAGTATGTGTCCTGCCATAACAAATCTGACAAAGGTCAAACAAAAAGGCGTGAAGTGTTGCCAACAGAGGCAAAGCAACCGCTGTCTACATGTGGTCACATGACTGTCTGATGGCGGGGTGGATGACATAAGCGTAGGGCACACACAGCCGAAAAAGTCGAAATAGCGGGAAATTTCGCGCCCCGACACCACCTTATCACCAAATAACTTCTCTTCGAGGATCACCCGACTTTCGAATAACAAAAAACCAAAATGGTATGTCCATACACCTGCCAATTCATATCACATCCTCCCACCCACCGTTCTTGTCAAGGCAATTGAGGCACTGGGATGGATACAGTCTTGTCAAGCAACCGCCCTCGCCGCGAGGCCTGCAATGACCTGCCCGCTCAATGTGTGAACAAATTCGAGTTTCGACAGCACCCAGCATACATTGCTAGAGCAAAACACTGTATCCAAACCAGACAGACTCTCTCGTCTCAAGACAACGATTACCAACATTACCATTGAACCCATGAAAGACCAATATTCTAACATCACCCACACAGTCGGACGGAGAAGAGCCCACATCCCCCATCGCCCCTGCCGACGAGGTTGAGGTTTCTGCCGATGCCGGCAGCGGCCAGATGTCCGTCCTGGACGCCCTCAAGGGTGTTCTGCGCATCTCCCTCATCCACGACGGTCTCGCCCGTGGTCTCCGTGAGGCCGCCAAGGCCCTCGACCGCCGCGAGGCCCACATGTGTGTCCTGAACGAGGGCTGCGAGGAGGAGGCTTACAAGAAGCTCGTTGTTGCTCTCTGCTCCGAGCACAAGATCCCTCTCATCAAGGTTCCCGACGGAAAGATGCTCGGCGAGTGGGTTGGTCTCTGTACGTTTTCCCACACCACACTACACCGTAATTTAATATGGTGCTTCTCGTTACTGGCTACTAATACTCTATACAGGCACTCTCGACCGTGACGGCAACGCCCGCAAGGTCGTCAACTGCTCTTGCGTCGTCGTCAAGGACTGGGGTGAAGAGTCCCAGGAGCGCTCCGTGCTCCTCAACTACTTCCAGACTGAGCAGTAGATTATTTCTACGCAGATTTTCGGTCTAGGAATCTAGCCTCGTTTCGGATGCCGGGGTTGGACTGGGGGATTTGTTTGTGATGGATGATTTGGGGGATATGGATTTGGATGGCTGGCTTAGTTGTCCTGTTTGGTCTTTTGATCATTGTCAAGTCAAATTACCTTAGTCCTATTGCTGTGCCCCGTTTGCTCGGGTGTGCGGCGCCAATGGTATCTGGACAATTTGTCTAATCCTGACAATCTCTTATGAATTTACGTAAGTGCGCATTGCTTTTGGCATGTTTGTAGTTGTAGATTGAGTTGGAGGACTATATGTCTTGGGGATGTTTAGGTCAATTGCCTGCTTGCAAGGCTGTCAAAGGACCGGAGGGCTAGTGAGAACCCGCACCGCCATGTATCCTTTCTATATGAACACGAAAGAAATACATGAACCGCAAACCAGAAAAGAACAAACTCCGAACTCCGTGACAGAGAGTCTTCTTTGAAGTATGAATGAGAACATTGTATAGACGGAGTTGGGAAAGCCCGAAGCACGAACTCCGCCCAGTTCAACGTTGCCGGCACTGAAGGTTCTCCACATTACTCATATGTCCGTAAAAAGATTGATAGCGAACAATTATAGGCATTCGCAGCCTTTTCTCCCTTACTTCCTATTAAAAGCTTTAGTCATATTGTATATATAGGCTGAGTTGAAGCAATTCATATTGACGCTTGATCAAAATGCGGCGAGTCAGCAAGCCAACACGAACAACCAATCAGGTAGCAGGCAACAGGCCATAGACCGGAATTCGCACTTTTATGAATCCCGTCCACGTCAAACCTTTGGAAGTTGTTGGGAAATGCTCCTTTTTCTCACTCAGTGAAAGGGAAAGCTTTAGTTTCTAGAATCCTCATACAGTTCGGATTTGATTTTTGAATGGAAACGAAAGCTCTTTTGGGAGAAGCTTTAATCTTGCGGTATCTCGCCCTCAACCCTCAATCCCGAATTCCACCGGAATGATGGGGAATTCCGACCAGAACACAAGTGGAACACCTGCGCCATACGGGCGGGCTTGCACTAACTGTGTCCGTGCTAAGTGCAAGTGTATGCTCGCCGGCGAGAGCGACAAGTGCCAAAGGTAAGTTAAACCGAGGTTAGGGTGGCAACCGAGTCCAGAACTAACCGTCTCTAGATGCCTCCGGTTGAACAAGGACTGCAAAACCTCAGAATCAAACCGAAAGCGCAAGCGCTCAGCATCCTCCAAGACTCAGCATCTCGAGGCCAAGCTCGATAGTATAGTCTCAATGCTACAGGCCAACGGTACAAACGCTGGTCTTCCAGTCGATTGGGAAGCTGCAACTCATCGACAAGCTCCACGCGATGTCTCAAGCCAAATTGGATCTTCGGTTGCCCGAACGCCGGCGAGTACTACATCTCCGTCAACGATTGAACATTGTGGCTCGTCTGTTTATGATGATATCTCTTCGACGATGTCCATCTCGCCTGCGGCGGCTCAAGAGAACCTCGACAACTTTCGCAATCAGAACCTCAGGTATCTGCCATTTGTGAATATTCCGCCTCATATTACATCTGAGCATCTGCGGAGCCAGCAGCCATTTTTCTGGTTGTGCATAATGGCTGTGCTTAACCCAGGCACGCTGGAGAGTGAAGGCACCTTCAAGAAGATCACCGACTTCATTTATCAAAGGCTTATGGCGGAGGCCTCGCCAAGTATGGATCTACTTCTTGGAGTTATGACATTCATTTCATGGTGAGTACATCAAACCCAATAGACAGTATCCGATTTTTGACGGCTTTTCAGGGTCACATATGCCAAAAGACCGTTCCTCAATTTCTACGCACATGTATTAATTGGGATTGTTTCCGATCTTGGAATCAACAAGAGTGTTCCAAACGAATACTCTACTATGCAAGCATTCAAGTGTGCTATTGGCTGGAGGCTAAATCCACCTACAGCAAGAACGCTGGAGGAGCGGAGGGCTGTGATGGGTTGCTTTCTGATCACATCAAGGTAAGCAAACACCAAAGAAATGCCAGAGCGTGCCCTAATGAAATATTAAGCGTTGCTTTGTCGATGTTTAAGATTGATGCTTTACGTTGGACCCCACACATGGAAGAAAGCCTTTCGGTGCTCGCCGAGGCCAAGGACTGCAAGGAAGACCAGCTCCTGGTCACGCTTGTCAAGATTCAGCTAGTGATAGACCGAGTCTACCATGCCCGCCGTGACGGCGACTCTCTCAATCCGCTGGCCTTCTATCTGAATTCCTTCCAAACACAATTGGAAACCGTGAAGAGCCAGATACCAGTTCATCTGCAGAAAGACAGTAAGTTTTTCTAATTCCAATGGTCTATCATCACAATCGCTAACCACCCTACAGAAGCTGTACTCATGTACTTGAGCAACGCCGAACTAACCATTAACGAAATCTCCATCGTCCTACCAGCCGTACCAAACGCACCAGACCTCAAACGCTTGGACAGCCTGTACATCTCCCTCAACGCAACGAAATCTTGGCTCGATCTATGGCTAAGCATCCCACCAAAGAACTACATAGTCATCTCCTTCGTCATGTTCTTCCAATTCACCCGCACAATAGTCAACCTATACAGACTATCCACCCTGGAAGACCCAGCCTGGGACAGAACCATGGTCCGAAATACTGCCAATCTAATCTCATACCTGGAAAGCATCGAAGCCAATCTTAAGGAAGGTGCAGATCACATCGCCACTGCCGGAGGAACGGATATGAACATCCTCGAAAAGGGACTGAGGATGGTCCAGGGTTTAAAACGGGGCTGGGAGCCTAAATTGAATGAAATTTGGTACGATGCGCCTATGAATCAGAGTATTCTGCAGGCTGATATGGGTGTTGGTCCGCCCAATGGCTTGATTCCTGAAAGCTTGCAGTTTAATGGGTTTGATGATTCTTGGATGATGGAGATTCTGGGATCTCTGTGAATTTTTATGGGAACGAATGTGAAATTTGTGGCTAACGTTATGGATGGAGTTGGGATGTAATATATATTCTACTTGTGATACCCCCGTCGGGATATTCTAATTTATCTACCAGAGAATTTAGTCGCTTAATCAAATCTTCGCTTCAGGTATACACGGAAAAGTGATACATAGATTCCGAATGAGATAGGGACGGTTCCTCCACGAGATATAGCCCCCGACTGATCTTGCGTGCACAAGATCGTAGCTGTTGATTCGACATCGCTTTTGTGTAATGCAGGGATAGTGACAGTGACCCGCTTATTCAAAGCTCGAGATTGGAAGCATGGAAAGTAGGAATTCACACAACACCCTGTCGGCCACCTTCTCTTGCTCGTTGAGCCACGCCAATGCAAGACTTTTGACCTAGACGCCATCGCGAACGATCTGTTCAAAGACTGGTTATCCCCGACATCGCGCAGTGTCGATCCATTAACAATCGGTTAGTGGAACATTCAAGGCCTTTTGAGATAACTGACATGTCCAAACTCGTGGCCGGGCATGCGTCAGAAGACTCCCGAAGCCGAGATTTTCAGACACTCACTTCAAGGCAGAGTTTATGAATGCGTCTCTCATGACCTGGACGACGGTGATCACGTATGCAAGAGAATAAGCCCATGTCTACCAATCAGCAACCTCAACACTGCGTCGGCATCCAGGGTACAGCTCCAATCTTCTATCTCTTCCTGGATTTTGTATAGAGCGAACAAAATGTATCGAAATCGGAATGGTTGGTAAGAGCCCATATATAGTATTTGCCGTGAGCTTCCCCGCAGGACGTGTCCGCTTACTTCCGGCTTATAAACCTAACAAAAGAGTACCCTTCGCCTTCACACCTTTCTCTGAGATTCTTCAAACAAAATGTCCACTGCCAAAGCTGAAATCGACGGCGTTCTTATCGCGGAGGCGACTGCCTGGGAAACGGTTGAAGGGAACGTCTACGTGGGTGACCGTCGGCCCTTTGGGGTTATGACCACTGATAACTTACATTGACTAAAGTTCCCCCCTTCGAGCATCAAAGACAAATCTCTGTTCCTAGCGTCTGACACGACGACCTACTGTCCATGGAAAGGTGAAGCTGAGTACTATACTGTTAAGATTGGAGGTGCGTGCTAAAAAGAATCGAGACCAGCATGCTGCTAATACGCGACACAGACAAGAGCATCAAGGACGCTGCTTGGTATTATGCCAAGCCGTATGAGAAAGCAGAAAATATCAAGGATCATGTGGCATTCTGTAGGTGACACCACTTGTTGAGTTGATACTCGTGGGTCTTTATTGACATTCGCCCCAATGACCAGACAAGAGCAAGGTGAATGTGACGGTCGAGTAGGAGACACCCCATAGATATCGTATACTTGATGAAGCCAATAAGGAGTTGCTTGATGGAAACGTCTACTCCAACTTATGATCCTTTTCATAGTAAGATAGAAATGTACACATGTACTACTTGGATACTGAGACACTAGACGTTTGAACAATGGAACTGAGACGAAGATCTAACCCAGCGTCCGGGGTTGCACCAAGGTTGCACATCTGAAGACAAGACTTGAAGTCCATGTTCACCATCTCCAACTTGTCCAATTAGTCCAGATGTAGGTCTCTGCTGTGTCAATCTGAGCTCGGGTGTTGAGTCAGTTTATTCTTCCCGGTGATGCCGACTCAGAGACCAATCGAGATTGCGCGGGATCAGACCTTGACCTTGTGCGAGGTAGAAAGGTCTGCTGGAGTATTTGTCTCTAACTTACCGGAGAAAGAGGGCTGGATGGACCTAAGCATTCTGTAGAAGATGGGACTCCCACGTTCTCGCGTTGAATATAAAAGCATGCCTCTCGCCCAGCAGTTCATCCCCCGTTTATCGACTGAAATATTCTCAGCAAAAAAGAAAAAAAAGATGTCTACTTTTGTCAACATTCTCGCCCTTGTGCCATTGGCACTGGCTGCTAGCCCCATGATGACAATGTCTGATCAGGTTCGATCATCCCATCTCTTTCTACTTCGAGATCATCCTATTCACACATTTTATATAGCCCATGATCTTCAAGGAGCCAGACTATGCCATGCACGCAGGTGCAATGGGGATGCGAGTCATGGCTGATGGAAAGTGCGTAAACTTCGACACTATGCCCGACTAGTAAGTTTCACCAATGTCATTTCTGGCAGAAGCATCACTGACTTAGTCTCAGTCGCATGAACGTCGGATCAATTTATGTCCCGTGTCCAGCCGAGTCGACACATGAGATGATGTGCTCAATGTACTCGTAAGTAGAAATCCAGTGGCTACGGATTTCCAGTACTGACTTGACAGCGACCACGTCTGCAAGGACGAGATGTTCACCTTCACTCGTCCCCATATGCAGTTGATGAAGAAGTCAAACGAACGCGACATCGGCAGCCACGTCCGCAGTATGAAGTGCATGAGCATCGAGTCCCCCGCCGACAGACACGGCCACATCTTCAACAGTGACAACCCGTCCACCATGACCGCAGCCACCTGCATGAACGACATCTGCTCCACCGAAATGCCCTGCTGGTCAATGTACCCAGGCTACGGCATGTACTGCTCACCCAGCTCCAAGACTTGCCAGCGACAAGCAATGAACGGCGAGACCTGCCACGAGGATGTTCAGTGCCAAGAGACCGCTGCCTGTATCAATGGAAAGTGTGCGGGTGTTCCGGATAATTTCCGCTGCCCAACTGGCTCTGAGTGCCCCTCTGGCATGACATGCCGTCCTCATCGTATGATGAATGTGTTTGGAATGGCTACGATTGAGAGAGTCTGCATGTACGACACCGACTCTCGTAGCACCATGTGCTCCCCTGGAATGGGCTGCACCAATAACTTCCAGTGCAGTCTTCAGTACCAGTATGACTCATACTGTGAGGCGAGCGGAAGGTGTGCTATGAAGCACGCCAGGTGTATGTCCGCCAACCAATGTTGCTCGGGAAATTGCAGCCCCTCGGGAGAATGTATGTGAGGCTGAATCATATAAAAGAAGCTGCATTTTGAGGAAGATGGAATTTGGGATCAATTTGAAAGAGCAGTTTGATATTTTTGAGCTTTTGATTTTTAGTCTAGTTATTGAAATTTAATGGTATAATTTTTGTTGGTAGGTCTTTGCATTCGAAGTCCTGAAAATGGTTATATTTTGAGGAAGACTAAGGGGAGAGGATATTCCAAGACCGACCTGGTGACCAAATGAGGATCATCAGTGCATGTTACAACAATTGAGGAAAGCGTTACGAATCCCGTTCCTCTGGTAGTCCACTACTGCTCGGAAAGGCACCGAAGCAGACGATCATAGAAAGACCGGAACATAGGTTGTTCTCCCCACTTCCCCTTTTCAAAGAGCAAGTGAAGAGTTTGGAAACCAGCAGGCTTAATATTTGAGCTCTTTTCGGGTGTATTTCTCAAAACAGACCACATAGTCTCAATCTCTAGGCTGCTGATCACATGTCAAAATTTGAAAGACGTGAATATTCACCAAAGCAGAGTTGTGTGACATGAAGTTTACAAACAAACGATTGAAAGAAAACCGGCTTTAATTCTTTATATATATGTAAATCAAAGAAAGAATGGACTGTCTAGAGCGACAGAGAAAAGGAGACAATCACGTCTGTACCAGGGATCCCACTGTCCAGCAAATTGGAACCCCATGTAGACTATACAAATGGATCGTCGTTGTGATACAACAACTGACAATCCTCCACACCGTGAATGTTCAATGGGTGCCGTGAGTTATCACCAGGTCCCAGATTCGGCTAAAGACCGATTGAGCATTTAGTTGGAGAGGTTAGGCTGGGGAGCAGCGCAGACCTTGTTACCCTTCTGTTACAAAGTATTGTTAGCAATCGTGTCCCAAATTCAGCGGGGATTATCCACTTACGATAACCTGGCAAGTGTCCTGCTTGGAGCAGTCGGAGTCGGTCTGGCACTGGTCATTGCCCTGGGAATTATGTCAGTATCTCCAAGGCATAGCCATGTGAAGAAAGTAGAACATACCTCAGAGCGCTTGCCGTTGGGGACGACGCAGACATTCTTGTCTTCGTCACAAACCTGGCCCTTGGCGCAGTCACCAGTAGACTTGCACTGCTGAGGCTCAGAAGAGAGGCCATCACGCTTGTCGTTGGGGGCGACACAGACATTCTTGTCCTGGTCACAAACCAGACCCTTGGTGCAGTCACCAGTGGACTTGCACTGCTGGGGCTGAGGAGTGTTGTCACGCTTGCTGTTAGGAGCGTCACAAGTCTGCTTGACTTGGTCACAGACGAAGCCCTTCACACAGTCCTTGGTGGTCTTGCAGTCCTGACCCATCTGGGAGAGGGTTTGCTGTACGAATTCATAATAAGAAAGACATTCTTGGTGATAGTGTTATCTGGTGGTACTTACACCGCGCTTGTTGTGGGTGTTGGGAGCATCGCAGGTGTTCTTGTCCTGGTCACAGACAAGTCCCTTGACACAGTCGCCAGTGGTGTGGCAGGCCTGCCCAACATTGGCCAGAGGAGCATCGCGAGTGGCCTTGTTGGAGATGCACTGGCCGACATTGTTGCACTGCTCGTTGGGCTTGCAGTCGTTGTCGACCTTGCAAGCAGGGGTAGGCTGGGGCTGGGCGGGAGAGGCCAGAGCAAGGCTGGCAAGCATGGCGGAAACAACGAAAGAGGCCTTCATATTTGCGGTTGGTGGTTGGGAAGTAGGAGTGGAAGTAAGTATTGATGATAGTTTAGTCGGTAAGGAGTGTTAATTGATTGTAGATGAAGAATTTAGGATGCGGGAATCCAGCAACTCTTTATGCCTTTGACGCCGTCTATGTGTAGATCTACAAGATACGCAGCTTCTAGTGCTTGACTATGCTAATGCCCCAGAATAGCTCAATATGTCCGGTATACACAGCTCCTTTTCCGTGCCACGCGTTGTGAGGAGGATGATCTCTCTTCAACATTACGCGTATACCAATAGTGCATATTGGAGACTCGAGCATCTTCAATGTCTAGGTTCTTCCAAGTTGAGCAGACACTTCTCCACTAGTTATGCAATAGTAGGCTTGGGGCCCAGCCCTGCGGGTGTAAGTTAGGTCATTCTAGGCAACATGAAGCCCCAGCCGCTATCTAAGTGCATTGTCGTAATGGTGGGCCGTCGACGCGTTCCGGAAATTATTTGGATTTATGACGAAGTGTTTTCTAGCAAGCCCTGACTAGGTAAAGTGTGTTGGGGGCCGGTAGTAGCGAGGCTTGGTAGAACGAGTTTTACAAGAAACCCTTTACTTGCATTTACAGGGCATCACAGAACCCAGATTAATGATCAAATATCTGCCTATAGCAACAAATTGAATTTAGCCTGGTAGTCCGCAAGCCACAGTCTGGGGAAATACATCATCCTCTGAGGCTTGTTGAAGCTTATTTTAGAACGATCGCCGCCAAGAACCGAACTCCACAAGTCCACGAATCCCAACATTCAATTCTTCAGATGTCCCGGGGCAATTGGCCCACAAGGCGTCAATTAGGTACGTAATCTCCAATGCTTATTCATCGGAGTAATTAGCAGTACGTGTCGCGGCCCCTTTCCCGGTCGATCTCAAATAAGGATCTGAGACACATGGGAGACATAGCTTGTAATGCGTATATATTGCGCGGACTGTGAAATGTTAAACACGCTCAACGTGAGCTGTTCCAGTCTTCACCGCATCGGACTCAGCCTCCTGCCCATAGCCAATTGCAACAGCTTTGTCAACATTGACATCCAGACCCATGCTCTTCATTGCATTGACACCAGCCAGCGCATCAGGCCCATCGAAAATTTCAGCCACTTCTTCCAGACCCTTCCCTTTAGTCTCCGGGAAGAAGAAGTAGATAAGAGTGAAGTGGATACCAATCACACAACACCAGACAATGTAATATCGCCACGAGATAGCATCCATGGCAACGGGGTTGGCAAAACTGTTATAGATGCCGGCCAAATTACCAGTCAACTGGTACATCATCGATGCTTTGGCGCGCAGCGAATATTGGACGACTTCCATGATATAGGTAGGCGCAATGGGAGAGCACATGTGGTAGCACGCACTAAAGATGAAGATCATCAAGAGGACTGCAGCGGCAAAACCCTTATCCTTGAAGCCTCGTTCTTCGTTGAGTGCGGAGCAAATAGTCCACAGAGTGTAAGCAATGCCCATGCCTCCCATGCCCAGGAGGAACAGGCGTCGTCGACCAGCGCGATCAACTAGAGTGGCAGCAACGGTGGCTGTCAGGAAGCTCCAGACGGCAAGACATGCGTTGATAATCAATTGGGTCCTGGGGTTTGTCACGTTGATCGTTTTGAGCACCTTGGACAGATAGTAAGAGGTGAGCCCGTTGCCGGCCCACTGGAGCATGGCTGGGATATAGAGCGCTAAGAAGAAACGGTGGCGATTGCCTGGAGTGGCCACCCACTCTGTCCAGCGAGAGAGCCTCTGCACCTTCTCTACCTCTAAGGTCGCCGTGATTTCTGCCATTTCGAACCGCACCAGAGGTGAATTCGGATCGCCATGCCCGTGATATTTGGTGAGAATATTCAACGCTTCCTGTCGGCGTCCCTGGTAGATGAGCCATCTCGGAGACTCTGGGGCCAACAGACTCAAGACGACTTGGACGAGGGAGAAGAAACACTGCAGGACACTGGGGATGCGCCAGCTCCAGGACGAGTCCGTCATCTTGAAAGTGCCATAGGTCACCCAGGCCGCAATCAAGGAGCCCAATGACCATGTGCACAAATAGAACGAGACCAGAATACCACGATGTGTTGGGTAAGCGACTTCGGAGAGCAAAGGTGGGGCTGCTGTGGCCACAATGCCCAGTCCAAAGCCGACGAAGAAGCGAGAGACGACAAACATGGCGTAGTTGGCAGCGGCTGTTTGAAGAATGGAGCCGATAATAATAATGATAGAGCCCCCACAGATGGGATAGCGACGGCCATACCTCTCACAGAGCTGTGACGAGATCAGCACCGAGATGAGCGTTCCTCCATTCGGGCCAAAGGTCATCGCTCCAAGGCGAGTGCCCGTCGGTTTACCGAAGTACTTCTGCCACTGGGGAAGCGATTGCATGCCGTTCAGCATGCTACCGTCATAGCCAGAGGTGATTTGGGTGAGCAAGGCACACAATAGCAGAGCGTTCAGCTTGAGAAGGGTGCCATCCTTCCAAAAGGGCTTACGGTCCTTGGGAATCACATCCTTCAGTGCAAGCCCTTCGAAATTACTGGAGTGGGTGAGCATTGTAGCCAAAATCGTATGATGGAGTAAAGCAGGCGTGGAGCCACGTTCGAGAGACCAGGAGAGTGTGAGGTTCAGCCCGTCAGTCTTATAGTGCGACTACCCCGGATTATTGCGAGTCCGGGGAATGCCAAGGGCTTGCCACACCTCACACGATTGATGGGATGCAGTCGAGCAGCTACTCCTTGACCGGGGGATTTTCTGGGGCCATCTCGCACGGATGGGGAGTGGCCGATGGAATCCCAGCGTTCCCTTGGTCCCTTAGTCGGTTAAATTCAGCCACAAACCTGACTCCAGCGGGAAGAGGCCACTAAGTCGGCCGGCGGGCGAATGAGCCCGGAGCGATATCGCCCGCCGCCCGCTGGAATGGGCGCTGCTTGGCGCCCTATCTAGGATAAATGGGCGATAGTTGAGAATTCTAATTCTGTCAGTGGTGACAGCTGTTTATTCCACAGTCAATTGATGCACGAGACCCAAAAAATAACAGGAAAAGCACCAGTTCTTGGTTCTACTTCAAACATGATTTCCGATACCCCCTCGACCTCTGAGGATTCCAGAGCCAGTTCAGAGGACAGAATGTCCAAATCTCCTGGGAGTGATACAACTGCCCCAGATTCCCAGCCAACAGACATGATGCCGTTGGAGTCGGTCCCGGCAGACGAGTGGCGCAAAATGCAGCAGATACTGCTCGAGCTGTTTTCCGAAAACATCATAGCCAAAGTGCTAAGGGTGGCAGTGGAGGCGCTAGAAAACAATGTATGAATGCTCATGATTATGGTTGTCAGCTCCAGTATTGTCCAATGCTAACACGTTATCTAGGATCCCCCGACAGTCTATCCTGAATTTGTGCCGCAGCATGGCGACCGAGCAGGAAAGTACTTCCTACGGGATGCCGACTTTTGGACATGCGGCTTCTTTCCGGGAATTCTTTACCTGCTGAGAGAACGGGCAGTGAGGTATCCTCAAGTCTTCCCATACCTCGACCATGAAGGCACAACAGTGTCGAGCTCATCCCTGCGACACCAACTAGCCGAGCTCTGCCGCACATGGACTGGCCCAGTCAATGCGATGATGTCGCGCACAGATACCCATGATATGGGTTTCATCATTCAACCCTCACTTCGGAAAGATTGGGAGCTGTCCAGCAATGAGGACAGCCTGCATGCTGTTCTAACTGCTGCTCGCAGCCTAGCTAGTCGGTACGTACCCAAGGCCGGGGTCATCCGCAGCTGGGATGTCCTGCGACAGGCAGACATTTGCATTACAAGCATGACGGATGATTGCCTGGTTATCATCGACAGCATGATGAACCTGGACTTGCTATATTACGCCTCGAAGCATCTCGCAGACTCCAGCCTCGCGGACATTGCCACCACACACGCGCGGACTCTCCTAAAATCGCTTCTGAGACCAGAGCCTACGCCTGCTGGCAGCAACAAGCGTCACAAGTACCCATTATATTCCACCTGCCATGTTGTCAATTTCGATCCCCATACCGGGGGCATTAAGCAGCACCGCACAGCCCAGGGATACAGAGTCGACTCGACTTGGGCGCGCGGCCAGGCATGGGGAATTTTTGGCTATGCCCAAACGTATAACTGGACCAAGGATGAAGAGTTCCTTGCTGCAGCATGTGGTCTGGCTGACTATTTCCTGTGGAGACTTGAGACTGCACCCCTCTGCGTAGAGCAGCCCACGGCCAGCGATGGGCTCGATCGCCAGAGAATGATGGGTCGGTACGTGCCATTGTGGGATTTTGATGCCCCAGTCGAGGATGAAAGCAAGCCTTTACGAGACTCTTCTGCTGGCGTAATTGCTGCCAACGGTATGCTACTTCTTTCGCAGTCACTGGCGGCGCTCGGGGACACAACCCTAGCGGAACAATACCAGCTCGCTGCGAGGAGGATAGTGTCCGATACATTAGAGCTATCTCTTTCATGGGAGCGAGCACAATTGGCTAGAGATGCACAACAAGGAAACACTATTACCGTCGAAGACGTCGTCCCTGGACAACGATTTGACTCCATTTTGAAGAATGCGACGGCTAATCACAATTCCCAGGATCATGATCGTTATAGTGATCACGGGCTGGTGTATGCGGACTATTACATCTTGGAATTTGGGAATCAGTTGCTGAGAATGGGCCTAGCATAGGCTCTCTCTGATAGAATAATAAACAGTCCACATAAGTTACAAAATGAACACTAGACAATAATAAAATGTGACACTTGCTTTAACATAATGGGTAACCAGCTTATATAAGATTTACTGAGTATAAGCTACATCAGACGCAAAGTATGCGTTGTTTAGACTGATGATCCGGTCCATCTCCGAATACTGCTGGTCTAGCAAAATTGATGTGACTGCGGTCAATTCGTCTGGGCTTCCTGTATTGTAGCTCAAGTGGGCAGGAACAGAGGTTGATGCCATTTGATGATGCTGTCCATTCTCAGGATCGATGTCGACTGGATTCAGTATATCTGGTCTCCGGCTGCTAATGGAATGAGGGTAGTGAGAAAAGCCACCAGTTGAGGCGTCACCACCGCAAGACGTCATGTTTGCGGAATGTTGTGGAGAAAGCTGAAGGTTTGGTCCGTGAGAGGGCAAAGGTCTAGCTGGATCATGGGATTCACTAACAGTGCCCTCAATGTGAGACACAGATACCTGGGTTCTATCCCTCGGTTGGCTCAGAGGAGGGCCAGTCCATTCAATCTCATTGGAGTAACCTAAGACATCGAGCTTGAATGTTGTGTCGTTTTGACATTTGTCGTATATGTCATTAAGCTGGCTGAAATATTTGGCTGCCGAGTTTTTGCGACAGGTGGTTGACTCCCGATTCTGACTCGACCATCGAGTTGACATGATGTCGAGGAATTTCATGAGTGTCCCGTAATCGGAAGGAAGCTCCTGTGTTTTATAGTAACGCCAGTGCACTGCAGATGGATATGCCCTGTTAGTGCACTCCTACAAATGGAAGGCCGAAATGGGAAAAGTATAACAAACCTAGAAGAACTCTTGCGCTGACAAAAACGCAAAAGGCGAACTGATTATCTACAATACTCCGCGGGGGCGAGTTGTCAAGGAATTTCTGGGTGATGTTGGCTGTCTCACTGGCAGCTGTTTCGCAGGTTTCGGCGCTGGACAGGATTGGGAGTTTGACCACTTCCAGCCATTCCAAGGGAGGATAGGCAATTCTTTGGTGAAGGAGAATCATAGATGTGTTGTGGGTGATGTGTGCCAGCGTCAGGTTCGGATCCATCGTCACCACAGCCGGCTGACGAGATATATTTGCCTCTTTCCACTTTTGGGGCAAAAACATTTTCCAACTGTTGTTTGTCCTGTGAGAAACCATATTGCTTGAGAGGTAGAACGATATGATTCGTGGACTCACCTCACCAGACGTAAATCTAGCTCCTTAAACCGCATGAGCCAGCTACCCATTTCCTGTCGGTCACGATAATTGATCTTTTGCTGCAGGAAAAAGGTCGTCACTCTACTCAGCGACTCGGTGGCTTCCACCCGGTAGGCAAATGCGCCAACTGTTGACATGTCAACCTTTTCCTCCGATGTCGTCGGAAGATAGTTGTTTCCCTGTGTGGAAGGGAATCCGTTGTTCGAAGGTTCGGTAGCATTATAGTCGGTGGGGAGAAAAGCGATGAGCCTTCCGATCTTTCCTGCCGACCGGTCCCAAATGCCAAAGAATGGTGTAGTGACTGCTTCCTCGTTATGCCATAAGCCTCCATCTGCGGGGAGGCGCCGGTGAACATCGTTCGATGTTAAGCTAGTGTTCCATCTACCGAAGACAATTAGTTTTTGTACAGGGTTGCTTCAAGAGGCTAAGCGTACCCAGTCGTAACTGAACAAAATCTGCCGTCCGTTAATATCTTATTCGCAAGTCATACGCGAGGATGTAGGCTCACCTGTCCAGGTTAAAAATGGTCCAAAACACGCGTCGCCTCTCTTCCTCCTCGACCCAATCTTTGGCTTGGGGAAGAGATGGCCGAGGCTGCAGTACTGGATCTTTATCATGGTTTTCTGTTTCGACGCTCAATTGTAGATATTCCACCGTTCTTGTTAGTGAACCGACAATGGGCCACGCGCGTGAAAGTCTACCGGACCCGATCTATACAAGGTTAGCTTCCTGATCTATCTGGGACAGACTTGGGCGCGCACATCTTCAAAGCAAATGATAATAAGTGCCTGTAGATTCTCAACATATAAATCATCCATAGCGGTCAAGACAACGACCTTCCGAGATCGCTCACAGATGCTCTCTATGTCACCTAAATGGGCTATGAGCTCTCGGGGATATACATGCTTGAGCAATGCAACAACCATCGCGTGAAGTACGACTTCTAAGGCAGGCCTAGAGTCTGGATTCTCCAGTCGCCGACGAAATCTCTTCTCATGAAAGATTGGCACCCATGGCTGCACCAGATCAAAGAAGAGATCAACAACAACCTCCAGGACCTCTGGTGGCGGTAATGTGGACGAAGGACCTGCAAGGTCATCTGGCTCGATGACTCGCCTGTCATTTCCACGCCTGCGTTTTTTCGAGGTCGCGGACAAAGGCTGCGGCTGTGGTAGTGGTTCATCCTCGTAATTTACATCCTCCTCAAGGGGCTCGTCGACCACTTCGGACCACGGTCTTTTCTGTGGAGGGTTGGACTGTATTTTTTCAAGAAGTAATTCTAGCCCTTCACATAGCGCAGAGGCCAATGAACTCGGTTCATTTGCACTCTGGATAGTCTCATTGGTTCCGGTTTTACCCAGTTGGAAGACAGTGTCCTCGAGGGTCTCTATTTATCCCGAATCAGAAACTTTTAACGCCCTTCCTGTATAGCACATGGACAAGGCTCAAACTCACCCACTCGTCGCCTCAAAGCCTCCACTGCACCTGCCTTAATGCCGGGTTTCTCACGATCACAGTCATAGTTGCACGTCGTTCCTAGACGTAGTCCGGCCAAGCCCCTCGGTCAGCAAATATACCAAAGTCAGAAGCCCCAAGCCAAGCGTACCAATTCTTCGGCAATGGCTGCATTGCGGAACGTCGCGTGAGCACCGCAGCTTGCGCTTGCGACATGCTCCACAGGCAGGTCGGTCCTCCAGGTTGGCCGGATTGGGTTCCGACTCCATCTGGCTGAGCGGTGTTGCGGGCCTCTGAAGGTACGGCCTACTTGGGTCGGGGGATGAGGCGGGCGAATGCGCGGGCTAAATAGGCCGGGCGAATTCAGCCGGTGCAATTCAACCGAAGAAAGCCCCAAAGTGGTCATTTGATTGCCATCCAAGTGCGGGGAAGTGGGCCAAACCTTGAAAGAAATAGGGCTCGGGCGTCGGGTGAATTGCGGCCATCCAGACGACTTTGCCAAGCACTTCCAACTCCGAAATGTGGCTGGAATTAGATTTTCTGGACCCAGTCATGTGTCACAATGGAATAAAGGTCGCTCTTTAGTAAATGTAATTGCAAGCCATCGCCATAATCACTCTTGCAACCGGGACTTGAAGTTAATCAGCTTCATCTACAAAGTTTACGAACACACCATTGAGACATGCCTCCCCTGAAAGGGTTCTCTGATAATCCCTTACAAACAAGGGATGACCTGGAGTTGGCAGCGCTCTCCATACTAGAGCCATTGCATGCATACTTCTCTCCTGGTCGGGCCAAAATTCGCCTCCCCGTTGGGACAGGTGCGCATTTTGACGACTTGGCCGCTCAGTTGGAAGGGTTTGCTCGTCCACTCTGGACAGTTGGTGCCATTTTCTCGGGTTCGAGCAACAGCACGGGGACTCCTTTGTCGGCTCGTTGCAGGGAAATACTGGAGCCGTGGATTGAAGGCTTTCGCAATGGCACGGATCCAGATCATGAAGACTACTGGGGTGAGATTAGCGAACTAGGTCAGCGCATGGTAGAAGCTGAGATAATATCGTTTGCCTTGATCTCTGCCCCGGATGTCCTTTATCACAACCAGGGTAAGCGGACAAAGCACAATATCGAGGCTTGGCTGCGTGGCATGAATAACAAGCCAATGCCCGATAACAACTGGCGATGGTTTCGAGTGATTTCGAACCTTGCTCTCATCCGCGTCTGCAGTGTACCCGCCCAAGAACTTGCCAGCACAATGGACTCTGACTTCGCTATTCTGGACTCGTTTTACCTCGAGGATGGCTGGTCCGGTGACGGTCCGTGGCTGAGCACTGAACAAGAAACGCAACAAGACGCGGCGTACGAAAAGACAGGCCGAAGAGATGCGATAGGTCCCGGACGTCAAGCGGACTATTACTCTGGGAGCTTTGCGCTTCAGTTTAGCCAGCTTCTGTATATCAAATTTGCCAGTGATATTGATCCGCAGCGGGTCGCCAAATATCAGCAGCAGGCGAGAGAATTTGGGGCTTCGATCTGGAAATATTTTGATGCAGACGGTAAGCTACGGCGCATCCCGAAACGGTCAATGTTCGTTTTAATCACCTGTGACTTTAGGCTCAGCAATACCATTCGGTCGATCTCTTACATACCGATTTGCTTGTGGCGGGTTCTTTGCGGCTCTAGCTGTAGCAAAGGTTCCGGACATGCCATTCCCACTGGCGGACCCCGGTAGTATCAGGGGCTTCCTGCTGCGCCACCTCCGTTGGTGGGCGAAGAACTCGTATGACATTTTCCATGCTGATGGTACCCTGAATATAGGCTGGAAGTACCCGTATGCATACATCAATCCGATAATCTTTATCCCTCGAGGACCTTTCTGACAGTTGTACAGCAATATGTTCATGTGTGAGGACTATAACTCTCCACAGTCACCTTACTGGTGCATGAAATCACTTATTGCTCTGTCTTTGAGCCAAGACGACGAGTTCTGGACTGCCTCAGAACAGCCTTATCCACCGCTATTCAAGCCCAGCCTTGTCCCTGCTCCAAGGCAGATTGTCAGCAATCACCCGATGGGTAACCATCACTTCTTTCTGTCGCCAGCCCAGTTCGTCGCCTGGCCTATGAAGGCAACACAGGCCAAATACTCCAAATTTGAGTACTCGTCGGCATTCGCCTTTTCTGTTCCTACTGGCCCACTGATTCAGCAAATTGCGCCAGACTGTATGCTGGCTTTGAGTCGTGATGGGGCTGAGACATGGGCAGTGAAATGGAAATGCTCACAAGCTATGTTTCCCCAAGCTAGCCTATACGCCAATGGGGATAAATCTTCAATTACCATTGCAAAGGTACGTTGGTGTCCTTGGGGAGATAGGCAGATCGAGATCGAGACAACCCTTGTTCCGCCGACGGATCGATGGCCAGATTGGCACGTTCGCCTTCACCGTATTCGTGTGAAGAGTTCGTTGCGAACTCTACATACGACCGAAGGCGGGTTTGCATTGCCATCACGTTGCGCCAAAGACGGCACCAAGCTTCCCCTTATCAATACGCTTGATGCCGACGCAGAGGTCAGGACGGCCGAAGGCATTCTCGAATCCGAAGATTGCACCCTGATACTCTCGGCTGCTGGCTGCAGTGGTGTATCGGTTGCATCGCTAAACACTGCACCGTTGCTGCCACAAACAAGCTCCAATGCCCTTCAGCCAGATTCCAACACAAACTTGGCCTATCCCCGAACCGTGATACCAGTTGTGGAGCGCAACAAGACCGACGGGTTGGCAGCTGGTACTGAGTTTGTTTTTGCGACGAGCGTATTTGCCATATCTGCCGATGCCAATGGTGGCAGGAAAACTGTTTTCAGAAGTCTAGCTGAGAGATGGGCAGATAAGCCCCAGATTTGTATTTCATCTGGTGATGGGTACACTGAAGGAACCGATTGCATAGTCTTGGACGGTTGAGTTATTTACATTTATTGCCTGAGCTCACGATGGGTTTTCCCCCGCAGCGCCACACTGCTGAAAACACCGCAATACATCATTCTCGTTTGGCAACACGAACTCTAGGAAGCCTTACCTTCCTTACCTTCGTCATTTTATGGCGGTCAACCCCAAAACTCACGCTGATGCCCGACTCAGGGCCGACTCCATGGCACAAGGGCATTTTAAGCTCATCCTTTCCCGTGGGATACCTCTAATTACCTTCTGGTTCAACATAGTGAAAGCCAGCATGGTCGGTTGGTCGAAATTTCTACTAAACCAATCCCGCAATCTATTTAGTTTGTCAATCCCATCAGTCTTCAACAAGCGCGAACAAACGTTGCCATTAAAAGGTCGGCAAAGAGACGATTCATCTAGATAAACATGCTCATTATCACCTTGATCTTATAGGCATGTTCTTTATGGCTGTTAGGAATTTAGGAAGCACGCGTATTATTCCTTCATACTTTAGGACTACGCGGTCAATAAGATAAATCATGAGGTTTAAGTCGATGCCGGTATATTTCTTTGCGATACCCGAGTTTTTATCAGATAGGCCATTACCAAAGCATTCTTAGAGCAACTGATCTCTAGACTCCGTAATTCTCTATTCACGAGCACCCAAAAATTTTGTTAAAGCTGTTGTAGATCCTATCTTTTTCTTTCATCTTTTGCCTAGTCCGCAGCATACATCGTCACGTAACCTCCCGTCAATGCCCTGGCATAAAACAAAACGACCTCGCTCGGTTTGATCCTTTTTTTCCCCTTCCTCCCTTCATCCATCCCCTCTAGCTTGCACTCACCTATGCCCTATTGTAATTACGTCCGCCCAACCGGAATCCCCGTCTGCGCTACTGCCCTATTTTCAGTACCATATCCACCTATCAACACCAATGTCAATGTCTTGCCCTCACAGTCTACTACGCTACACCAACCACCAAAAATGGACTGGATATGTTAACTCCCAAGGCAGCAGATAAATTGCAGGCTTTGAGTCCCTTGAAATCCCTGGCCCTGGGGATGTAGCCGTCAAAGAATACGGTGAGTGGCAAGTGTCGAACGTTTGACAACGTTACCCTCAAAACTGCATTTCGAGAAGGGTATGATGTTGATGCTCGAAAGGTCTCGACCTCGAGCAAGTATACAAGGATCAAGGTCCCAACTTTTTCATCGAGAAAGAAATAAAAATAGGCAAATACAAGATACTTTACTCTCGGGCCATCTTGATTCTGCTTAGGATTAGCGTAAATTAGCGGAACTTAGCGAAAATTAGGTTGCTGGCCGTGTATACTGTCAACGGCCGACCAGGTGATTCTAGTTATTGAAAGAAGCAATCAACTCGAGAAACAAAATTGCCGTGAAGGGGTAGAAATCCATTCAATCATAAAAAGATCGTAGAACAAAACAACAAAGACAGTAGTCCCAAATGCAGTGACACTCCTGGAATGGTGGCACTGTTCGCCCTTTCAAAGGTGATCAGTGACTCGTTATGGCTCGCCGCGCCCGTCAACACTACCTGCGTGGAATTTGCAACGTCCAAATTCCCCGTAAATGCAATTTCAAAAGTCACATTGACCTTGGTATAGGTTGGATCATACATGTTGATATTCTCGAATCCAGCAATCGTTGTGCCAGACAAGTTCAACTGCAGGGTCTCATTGGTCATAGACCCCTTGACAAATGTCCCATTCCATCTCATCATCACTTGGCCCAATCTTTTCCCTTCCGAGCATGTACCGGCCGGAAGGTAGAACATTTGATCGGAAAGGCCGCTATTTTCGTACTTTTCTGGATCCCGAGAGTTCCGTTCACTATTTGCCCAGTCCTTCAAATCATAGACGCCCTCGAACTGAATCATGTCGCTGTTCTCAGGCGCCTGCGTAATCTTCAGGTCCACGGCATCCATCGCATCAAGCGAGACATTTTTATAAGTACTGTAGATCATGTCCACTGTCGTGCCGAAGCGCATAAGATCAACCTGGTCACACACACTATACGAATAGTCGATGTCGGACAGCTGTATGTTGCTTTTCCAAGCCTTGAACCCGATCGCAATGGGGTTCTTGGGTCCTGCAGGCCTGGGCGGTTTGCCAGCAACCCACGCAGCGCCTAGCATGCGGAAAGACTGTTCGCCTACGGGACATTTGATTGAACTGCTTGAAGGATACCCGAGGTCGGTGATGTTTGGCGGCGGCGTTT